AGGGTTTAATCATCTTAGCTTATAAATTCTAATTTGAATTTGATGTTGATGTAAAGAGAGAGGATTGTTTCATTTTATTTCTTCTTTGGACAGCCATGACTGAATTTTGCCACTCTTTGTTTGGCACATAATCTTGTGTTTTTCAATTAGTGAATTTCTTGTATTAATATTGCATAATCTTATGGTGTTAATGCTTGTGTTGTTGAGTAGCTTGACATAATCTTGTGGTTGCTCAATTTATGTGTTTGACCATGGCTGTTGAGAGAGGATTTTGAGTGAATCACTTGGCTAATGTCTTCACCAATTGGTTAATTGAACTAGGGACTTTAATCTAAGACCTAGGAAGGTTAGCTAATTAGGTTAATTGGCTTAGGATAATTTTCTTAAGTTATGACAGCTTTAGTCAAGAGAAAAGGGAAGCTAAACTTAGCCTAATCATGAGATGATAATGAGTCCAAAATCAACTAATCTCTAGGGTTCCATTATTGTGAAAAGGGAAGTTCATTTCACTCACTTTCACTAGCATTTTAATTACTTGTATATTAGGTAATTAGCTAGGTAACTAAATCCATATAAACTTTAGTTGATTTATTTCACTAGATAACTTTCAATTAGACTTAAAACCATTCCTTGGGAGATGACCTAGGGTTGGCCCTATATTTCATTAGGGTTAGCTTTAGTATAATTTTGAGGATAAGCGACTAATTTCCTATCAAATACCTTTGGCCATGTATTTGTACCATTGAATTTGTGCTCAAGTCACTTTGTAATTGATCCAGGAGAGCCCATAGTTTTTTATCAGGGAGCTTTAGAGGTTTGGTAGATAGGTGATCATGCTATTATTGTGATTATGTTAAAACACTTTGAAAAAAGGAAATTCTATATTTACTTTTGATATATAAGCCACTACTGTGGACTTTAACATGGTTATTAGTGTTAATGATCACTAAATGAACTATATTAGTGACTGAAATTTTGATCTTATCCGTAATTATTTACATTTTTTAGGTTTTGGTAGTAGTAGTGCAAGGGGAAAAGAACTAGGCCGAAAATAGAGATTTCCCTAGAAAGCTCTTTGTAAGAATTAGTGTAATGACTTAAAAATATAAGTTGTGTTTTTGTGTGTGTGTATATATGTATAAGTTGTCATAGGATTTCAGTATATGTGCATACTGTTGTGAATGTTTATGTGTTTGGTGGATTTTGGTACCCTAGCCCATTGTGTGTTTGTGTGTATGGTGATAATGATTGTATGGGCTAGTAGATGAGTATATATAGGTATAAAAGTGAATTATGTGTGTTATGTGTAAAGTTGGCCAAATTTGATGGATTGAAGTGAGATAATGTGAATATGCCCAAGTTTATGTGAAATAGGTAGTTGATGGCCAATTGTGTGTATGGGTGTGATATTATGAATTAAATTGCTCAATTAGGTGTGAATTGTCCATTTAGATGTGGTCAAAGCCCTAAAAGCGGCTGATGACTTGTTGTTTCAAATGGTGATATTCAAGTGATGAATTTTGACTTAAAATAATCAAAATGCACTTGGGTGTTCAATTTTTGAATAGAATGTTGGATTGAAATGAAACTATTGTCATTGGTTAGATTATGTAACAACCTTCGTGTGGGTGTTTGAATTACCTCAATTAGATATCGGATGTAAAAATGGAGCACATTCAAAGTTCGCACCAAAAACTGCTATTTGACAGCAAAATCTGGTGTGTGCGCCATAGCGCATGTATCCACATGCTATGGTGCATGGCATAAAGCGTGATGCTAGTGTCTCTGTACTACATATTGGGCATATGTAGCACAAGCTGTGGTACATGGCTCACTTTTTAAGCAAATTCTGATGTTTTGAAATGTTTTCTTTTGAGATTTACCTATTCCTGATTAAATGCTTCTACTGTGTGTTGACTAGAATAACTTAAATCCTTTTTATAAAGAAATTTTCAAAAATTTACTTTGGGATCCAAAAACTTTCAAAGATGTTTTAAATTGATTGAGTAGATTGCATGGAAGGTTGAATGGTAATGTCAGTAAAGGTATTACATTATGTCTACTAATTAGTTTAACTATTTATAAGTGAATGCTAGTGTGAATCATGATTGAAATTGTTATTATGTTTGGAATTGCATGTTTTAAATGAGTTTTAGCATAAACAAGGATTTGATTACAAATTAAAATGATTTTCAAATGTTTATTTAAAGTAAGTTGTTGTATAAATATGTGTGGATGTGACCATATGCGTGCAACGTAATGTCCCCTATCTGACCTTAATAAACTCATGAACACTTAACAAACATAGGTAGTTAGAAGTGTTCAACCTTTTGAACCCTACCAATTAATGAACAATATTAAAATATAGAAATTATTCCTTAGAAAACTAGGATCCCAAAAATATTTATTTAAAACAATTGAAATCATGCAATAACATGTATTTATGTATAATGGAAGCATTTAGGAATGCATAAATACTATGCACCCAAAAATAGTGGCAAAATAGTAATTTTTGCCTAAAAAGACAATGCACTGCGGCTTATGCTATATGCACTATGACATGTTGTCACGCTCTAAAAATTAAGCGTGACCGGCATGGGATAAATGTACAAACACACATCCCTTAAGCCTCGGTCAATACAATTTTTTTTTTAATTCATTTGAAGTAGGATTGAAAATTATAGTAACATTTTTCATATAAATAAATATTCCTAAACTTTCTGTAAAGATTTTGACAAAATTTTCCTCTGTAAATAAAACCTTCTGAATCTCTACAATAACCACTTACAGACAAATTAATAATATAACATTTTACTTCTCAACAACAGATAATCGATATAAATTTACAAACCAGAATTACATCTATAATTAATGTGGAGCACATAAACTTAGTCTCAAAATATAGCACCTAATTGAATATATACATCAAACGAAAATACGATCTCACAATAAATATTCACCCAGTTCAGTGACAAGCCTTTCAATAATTCGCAGGAGATTTAATATCAGCTAATGAATCTGAGACCAAAAATATTTTCTAGTGAATAGTATCCCTAAAAATAAAATTTAAAAGAGTAAAAATAATAAACTCAAATGATTATTAAAATAATTGACAAAGTGATAACTCAATCTATTAAACTTCATGAGCCAATAAATTTTAATCATAACCATAAAATCAAGTAAACTGGAATTGCTTTATTCACTCATGCCTGAAGAAAACAAGTTATTCAAATATAAATCAAAGTAACACACTTACTAATTGAATTCATTGAAATTTCAAATACACCAATTAATAATAAAAACTTTAGAATTTTGAGGACTTAACAGAACAGGTAACAAACGTGGACACACAGTCCACGAGGGTAAATAATCAAACGCGGCTTATGCCACGAAAACAAACGTGGACACGCAATCCAAGAGGGTAAGTAACCAAACGCAGCCGAAGCCACGAAACAAACATGGACACCCAGTCCACGAGGGTAATACTAACCAAACATGGCTCACAGCCACGAAATCAAACGTGAGTACAATGCTCACGAATAACCATCCCTCTATTCCACGTGCGTTGGCTATCGCACGGGGCTAGCACCTCCTATAAACACCCTGCTAGCTAGGTGTACCATGGTGCACCAAGGGCTAACGGAACTGCCATTAGCAACTAGTGTTCTGTATAAAGTCCCTATTAAATTCATTTTCAAACATGTAAGAAAATTATCACTTTCAAGATATAGTTCTCATTCTCAAAATCGAACTCGCATGAATCATTTCAAATCTCAAAGCTTGCCAGAATAATATTTCATATCTAATGTACAAGCTTGTATTAGTTGAGTAACTAAGAATTCCCAGAGTAAAATAAACAAAGATGCCTTCATCAATCTTGAAAAATATATTTCGTAAAGAAAATACATGCATATACCATAATTTAATTAACCTTCATTATCATTCTATAATTTCCAAAACCAAATAATTTAATCAACAAAGTACTTAGTAATCGTCATAGTTGTTAGAAATGATTTATATAAAAATGTAATATTTTTTTTAAAAATAGATTACTTTTACTGATAAAATAATGGGGGTGCTATTCACATACCCGTTGAAGTTTCAAATTTCTCAAGATATTTTTCTTTTAATCCATGTCAAGTTCCTTTTCTTCCACACACCCTATAAGAATATAAATAAATGAATTTTTTTAACATAATTCCAAATCAACCATCATCATTTAAAATTACAAAACCAACATCATATTTAGAGTTGATCTAAGTGTTATCATTAATATCACTAATCCTTACCAATTTGTTTTAATCAAAATCATCCATTCATAACAATATAGCTTCCATACTAACATACTTCTCCCACCAAACATTATCCTTCATACTTATAACCTTTCCCATTCTTGAGGTAAACATTTTTCTCATAGATTTTGCACCAATTACTTTAGGTGCATAAATTCTAATTATTTGAGTTATATGTCCAAGCTACTCTCTTCCCATCTTTCCTTAATAGTTTCTCTAGCCATATTCAATCTAATTTAGATTTATTTAATTTCAAAAATTATGACTCACACACTCACATGTATATACACATATTTTATCTTACTTTAGAATGGACTTCCAGCTCAAATTTGAGTCCTCTTCCTCCTATAACAGCAGCGACAGAGAGCATGCATAAATAGTATCATCATTTTTTTTAACTCCAATCACCCACATACAGTCACGGATAGCAACAGGGGAATCAGGTTTTGCTACTTTAATCATCGGTTTACATATATACAAATCAAAAAGAACCTAAAGGTTAAGCTTCCTCACACACAGCCACAACATAACACGTTAACCCTCTGTAGCCTCATGCGCGCCCACAGCAATAGAAGAATAAAAATCCGTACTTACACATAGAGCAACGACAACAACATAAAGAAGAATAATTTTTCTTTTAACTTCAATCATCTACTCGCACTCTTACTCACACAAGCTTACGAAGAAGGAAGGCTCAAGAATTCTCACCTCGATTTAGCTAGCTTGAACGGTGGCAGACCGACAGAGGAGGAGAAGAGATTCTTGAACGCTGAACAGGGGAGAGGAAAACAGCACTATCACCACGCACAGAAAAGGAAGGAAGACTAGTTTCAACAGCACCAATACAAGTTCACAGCAACAACCCATCAGCTGCGATGCTTTGTGACCTCTTATCCCAGAACCACACGGACAGCATAGCAGACAAAGAAATAACAGACACAGGGAATATGGAACGATGACGAAGATGATGAAGTTTACAGATGAAATGGGGGGAAAAGGACTTGCAAGTAGAACCTTCCAGCTTCAACGACTTCGACCCTCATCCTAGCCACAACTCAGACGCGAATGACACAAGGAGAGCAGCGGACGAAGGAAAGTAAAAAAAATAGAGATGGGAGGTGTGACGATGAACATGAATATTTGAGAGCAACCATGAGCCTCCTTAGACAACGGTAATGGTAAGGAATGAAGAAGGCAGAGATGAGTCAGTGATGACAGAGAAACGAGGAGCGTCAATCATCCAAATTCTAGATTCTTCTCGCTCCCTCTATACTCTGATGCACCGACAGTCAAATAAGAAAGAGAAGAAAGAGAAAATTATATCTGGTCAAGGGAGGTTATATTGGTAATTCTACAAAGGAAAAATTACAAAAAGGACCCCTTTTTTTAATTCTTGAGTTATTACACATGTGGTACAAAGCCATGAGTTCTACTTTTGTGTTGTGGACCATGGCATGTCACCGTACACTATGGCACACATAATAATTTTTCTATTAGCATGACAGGTCACTAACACGAACTTCCAATGTGCATTATTTTCACTAGAGTGATTCAAACTTCCACATGAAGCTTATTTCAAAATCCAGGCATTGACACATATTTTACCTCAATCTAATATTTCTTTTGAAAATAAAATATCTGAATGTAAAATGACCATTTTATATCATTTTCAATCACCTTAACATTCTAAAATCAAGCCTTGCATCATTAGCCACTTCCAAGGGCTTGACCCATCCAATAGGACACTTGTCACCTAATTGACCACACACATCATCAATAATACAAGCATACATAATTTTGGCCAATCAATTGCCCTTTTCACCCAGTATGGCCTTGTGCATTTGTGCACAAATACCATATTCACTTAGCCAAAATTCATATAAACACTTCAAAACACATAATTGTGCAAGTAGCCTAGCCCTTATGATCTTATTTCATATGTATTTACACACACACACACACAAACACAAACATACATGCACGCACACATCCAAATTTAGCCGCAAATATGCCCTTTACACACATGCATGGCTATTTTCACACTTCTTTGTACATTTCACACACACGGCTAAATTCTACATCACATTAAACGCTTAAACATTTCAAGGCTAAGACACACACATACACAAGTGCATTCATTACAATACATGCATGCATTCCTATGAAAACTTTTAAAAAAACACTCACACACACACATAAAATATATACTTACATCAATACCAATTCATTACACAAAACTCGATGGCAATTATAGTCCCCTTATTCTTGGCCTGTTTCTTTCCCTTGTCTGCTACTAGTCTTAAAACTTGTAAAATATTAACTGTAAGGTGAGATAAATCAAGCTAATTCAAAACTATCTTTTAAAGAGAATAACCATAAATAAGTAATTATTACTTTATCTTTTCCAATCTCAAAGTATATATAATATATATATATATCCACTTTCCACCAAGTCATTTTCACATAATATGATCATCCTAATCATCCATCCTCCGTACATTTCAAATTGAATTTGTAGGTAACCTTGACCATTTCTTGAAGGATTTAGTCCTTGTCTTACCTTTCATAGGTGAACTACTAGGCTAAAATGTTCTATCCTACTTCAGGACCATGAATTCTTCCTTTGCAAAAACTAAGGGTGTAAAATCTTGATTATCATCCTGAACTTTACTTACACATCCACACCTTAACTTACAACATAATACAATATCAGAGATATAGCTCTTAATTTATTTTTAAAATGCGGGATCCTAACTTCTTAGAAAATATGTTCAATAAAAAGGGCATATGAAAGTGTAAATGCCATTCCTAAAACTCAAAGAATCAACAATTATTTTTTTAAAAAATAAGGTCATGCACCATAGTTCACACCACATGCACAATGGCATGTTGCATAGACTAATGTGCCCTAGTTTTGTATCATGTGTCATAGCTTAAACATCATGCGCTGCAACGCATGTATCCAATTCTACTATCATAGTAGATTTCTAATACAAACTTTCACCACGTGCCATTTTTACATCCGATGTTTGATTGGAGTGATTCAAGTGCCCACACAAAGCTTATCACATAATCTATCTAATGAAATAAGTTTGGACACGATCTGATGGTCCAATCTTAAATTGGACACTCAAGTGTAAAAAGCTTCTTTTTCTTTCAAAAATTAACACCCTAAGTGTTCAATTATCACACCTTTTCTTATCAAACTATTTTGGCCCTTGAACCAAGTCTAAAAGAACTAAATACACTTGATTGACATATCAAATCATATATACCACATTTTTGACCTCTTGTGAACAGTATATTTTGTCCAAATATTTTTTACATTTAACAAAAATAATAATAAATTCAACTAAAAAATATAAAAATATAAAAATAAAATTTAATCATTTTGAGGATTATATTTTCAAAATAAAAATATATTTAATTAATAGGGTTTAATTTTATTTTAACCTAGATAATCTTTTGTTGGTTCAGATTTTATTTCTTTTAGTTTGTTAAAATAACCAAAAAAATATAAAAATATAACAAATAAAATTTAATCCTTTTTAGGATTATATTTTAAAATAATAATAATAATAAATAAAGAAGATAAGTAAATTTAATTGGTCTTTTGAATCAATTTTAAAAATAAAAAAATATATCTTGATTAAATCTTGAAAAATCTCTCTTATTATCTCAACAATTCAGAGACAATAGCAATCAAATTAGTGAGAGTTAAAATAAAAAAACAAGAGAGAAAGGATATTCTTAGTCCATTCAAATTAAATTTTCCTTCCTAACTAATTTCTAAAAATTACCTTTTAAAAAAATCTTTAAAAAAATAATAAAATACATAGGGTGAGTGAAACGCTGATCTCTGCAGCGTTTTACCCAGCCTTGGTCTCTTTTTCTCATGCGAGTACATACACTGACAAAAAGAGAGCAGATGAGAGGGAGAGCAGATGAAACCCAAAAAACACAAAGCACAAAGCAGAGAAGAAAATGCCAGTTACGTAGATCAAGCCACAAGCAAAGAGTAAAAGGAGAAACTAAGGATGAAAAGTCAAACGAAGAAAGCAAGCAGAGGCGCACACGAAAAATACGAAGATGCAAAGCACCATACCTTTCGGCCGGATGCATGAACAGAAAAAAATAGAGAAGTAGAGATAGAATAGACATGCAGCATACTTTCGACCAGAGATCAGCTGAAAACACAGAAAAAAAAAAAGAGAGGAGGGAAAGAGCTCACGTAAATCTAGAGAAAGAGCACCACACTTTTTGGCCAAAAATGAAGAAGGTAAAAAGAAGAGAAACAAAAAGAGAAGACGCACATGCAGATGCAAAGAGCAAGCCGTTTGGCCACACAGTAGAGACGCATGAGCAGAAGAGAAACACAGAGAGCAAAGGACACAAACGAAAATGCAGAAGAAAAAGAGAGAGAGAGAGAGAGAGAGAGAAAAGAGTAGGTGCATACACAGAAGAGTAGGCCACACAAAAGTGCAGGGAAAGATAGAGAAAGCAGACTCACATACGTACATGCAGACAAAAAACTCAGAGAAAAAAAGAAGGAGACGTGCACGATAAGAGGAAGAGGGAGCTTCAGCAATAAAACAGAGCATTCATGCAAAGAGAAAGAGGAGGGTGACGAGAGAGAAAAGAAGGGGGCTGGAGAAGTTTCTCTACACAAAAATAAAGAACGAGGCTGCATCTTGCATGTAGTATAAAGATTGGCACTTTGGTTCAAAAGTGGGAGTTGGGTGCCAACTGTGACAGCTGAACATTCAAACTCTGCCTTCCATTATTGGCTCTCCCTTCTCCTTCATTCCTTCTACACATCTTCTTTTGGTATGCAAGAGTTGTTTCCATCATTGTAAGAGGTTTGATTTGCTAGTTCTTTATCCCTCCTCTGCTCTGCTATTAGTATGCTTTACTCGTCTTTATTTTGTCTCGTCCCTATTATAATTCTTGCAATAGATATATGTGTAAGTTTTTGTTATAAAACTGATCCTTGATGGTAATTCCTTGTATTTGAAATAAGGAGATTTAGAAGTTTTGAAAGTTTAAGTATGGATAAGGAATATTTAGGAAGATATTTAAAGAGGAAGTAGCTTTGTATCATTGTGTTTTCTTCCTCTAAGTTATGTTGCATATCTTAAATATGCTCTAACATGTGTTTATTTGCTTTCACATGCGAGGTTGATTTAGTTATAATACTTTCCCATGATGTTTTTGATTCAAACATTTGAAAAATTATTGTTGAGCTAAGTGATAAGTTAGATTTAAGTTTGTCTTTTAGCATAAAGGAGTATTAATCAACCTAAGTTCAATTTTTATTTCTTTGTTTCTTAAAGACATACACTAGTTGGCGTTTAATTTTCATTTGAGATTAATTGAGTAATTGTTGAAGATAATTTTGATTTTAAATGTCATCATTTTCATATGGAGATTTTAAATGTGTGGTTAAATGAACAATTTTATTCTTATTATTTCCCAAATATAATCAATTAAAATATTTGAATGGTATTATGAGAGATTTAAAGAATCTTCATAGATATTCAGTTTAATCACCTCATTGTGAAGGATAATAAGTCCTCGCAGATGTCGTGGTTATTAATTTGTATAATAAGTAAATAAATAGATATTGTAAATAATAATATAATAAATGCTTTTTTTTCTTTAATTATTAATTAATTAAATTAAGGTATTTAAATTATAATCATACTTAGATGGTTAGATCCTCTTGTCACATGAGATTAAAAAAAATCTTCACAAACATTTAGGATAATCCTTTTATCGTGTGAGTTAATAAGACTATGCTGATATAACGATTATAATTTTTATCATATTTTTTGTCATCGTTGGCACATTGAATAAATTTTCAATATATAAAAATTATTAAAATAAAATATTGTGTAAATAATCTAAGATTTCATATTGTAAGGAAAATATAGAATTTTAAAAGGCATTAAGATCATTTAAATGTCCACGAGTAACAATAAGTCTCTGTAAGCACATTAGAAACTTTCTCTTTTAAACTACTTTTCTATGTTGACAAAGTGAATCTTCAAAATAAGAGAAAGTATAACAACAAAAATATTTTCAAAATATAAAATGGGAATAAGAAAGTAAAACTAAATTATTTTTGCAAATTAAAATGCAACAATTCACATCTTATAAAATTGTTTTGTTTGCAATTGGTAAGTTATTTTCATTTAACTTTGTCTTTTTTATGAAAATTATAAATAAAAAAAACCATTAACACTAGTCTTTATCCCGAACTATG